TACGAACGCAACCCTAGTCTCTAATTATTTATAAAATTCCTGTGATTTTTAGGCCTCTATTAGAGGCAACTACATATTGGACTAATTTTATAGAGCTACATATTCCTTAATTTTGTTTTAGGAGATTGTCAACTCTTAAAAGTGTTTAAATTTAAATTATTATTATATAGACACTCTATATCCCTTGTATGTTTTCAATTGCGAAACGAATGGGAAAAAGTAATTGTTATAAAATTATGTTCTTTATTGGAGTTATCGATATGGCAACAATTTTGTTTGCTGGATTCTTGACTGGATATATGGGATATCTCGGATTTGTTTTCTGTACTTCGCCAACATTTATGTATTTTTCTGGGGCCTATATATTTTGTTTGTTTTTTAATAATACCTAAATTATAATTCGATAATTATTAGTTTGCTGGACGTCAGAAACTACACTGGAGGTAATTTTAGCCATTAATCGTTGCATTGAACTATTGTCTACTCAACTCGCAATGAAAATTTTTAATGGCAAAAAATAAACTAGTAAACTAGCCTTACTTTTTATTAAAATTTAAGGCAAAAAAATGTTCTTTTGGATTGGCATTCCAATACTATATAAATATAATTACATGGTCAAGGTCAAATGTGTTTACCGGCATCTACTTTGGTTGGTTCTTCAATCCCCACATTGGATATATTGATAATGTTGATCAAGTATTTGTTTAAATATTTGTTTAAACCCGAAATTTATGAGTTCGGGTCGGGGTTTTGCCCGCATGGGGGTTGGTGTCGGGGATCGGCGTTTGTTTGGGTAGAGGTTGGGGTTTTTCAAAAATTCATCGCGGGTCGGGTCTAGGTTTCGGGGGACAGCGTACTACCCTAGTTCCAAATAATTAATTTATTAAAAGGAATATGAGAACACTTGTCATACAGTCCACAATATATCAGTCATAATTATTCTTACAATGACATACATAACATTTTGTATAATTTTTGTACTAAAATCTAAACAAGGAGGACATCAACCCAATCAACAAAGCTATTCTGAACTAATGGTTTTTTAATTGAAAAATTGTTATAACCCTTAAAGTTCAGATTTTTATTCAAATCTTTTTGATTAGCTTATCTAATATTCTTGGCGCTTCCATTTATGTTTATATGCAATATATCTACTCAGATGAAGTTCTTATTATACTTGGTCAATTTTTTTGGTTGAATGCACACGGTCGAAAATATTTTTATATTATATTATAGTACATTGTATAAATGAAATTAGTGTTAAAATGATCATTGGTTTATGATCGGTACAATGCTTCAAAAATCTGCGCTCAAATGCTATCCAACCATTAATTCATAAAATAAATTTTATACGGGAAGATAATCAAGTGACGCATGTAACACATGTAACATATGCAACACGTGTAGCACGCCCAAATCAACAAATGTATCCTAATTGAATATACTGATACAAACTAAAATCCTTCGAATTTTCATGAGAACATACTTTAACTAAACTCTTAATGATAATTGAATAAAATGAGTTATTAAATGAGACTTATGTATATAAAAATAGGTTTCAGATAATAGATATCACTGGTAGACTATTTATTAATAGTTCTGAAAATAGCTCGGATATCCGTAGCCAAACCGAAAAATCCTCCGCTATGGATTCTTTCACGGGGGGGGGGGGAGGGCTGTTGAGGCGGCCAGTGGTCGACAAAGTAGATGACACACAAACTGTCAAACTTTATCGCAGTACAAAATAAAATAGAAGCTAAGATTGTAGAAATAGAGCAAATATCAAAAGAGAGCTTCTAACAAATGATCAATTTATTCTAATTATTTTGCTTAAGAAAATATTAAAATTATTTTTTGAAAAAATAATATATAAATTTTCAAAATTTTTTGAAAAATGTTAGTAAAGAATTGTTTGAGGAGAATATTTTTTGAAAAAATTTTTTACAAAAATTTTTCAAAAAAAATTTTGAAAAATTATGTAGTATTTTTCGAAAAATATTATTATACAGGGTGACCCAAAAGTAATTGGACACTTTTCTATCCTTTATAACTTTTTTTGTTCATAACATTTTTAGATAATTCCAAGTTTATTTTGTAGCCCATTTATTTCTCGATCATTTTGTAAAATTAAAGATTTTTTGATTAAGGATTAAGAAAGTTACCATATCAAAATTTTCCCCCACAAAATTTTATTTTTTGTATCTCAGAAAGGAGAAGTCCAAACAGGATGATCTCAACAGAATTTAATTAAGATCATTAGCGAACCGGACAAATCTGAAAGATGAAAACACCAACACCTACATGGATGGCTCTGAGTAGATGTAAATCAGTTTTGGGGGGAATGCGATTCTCTCTTTTTGGGAGGGTTACGCGCAATCGAATATCACTTTAAGCGTTAATCCAAAAAAATTTTTTGCTTTGTAATTTCTATAGATAAAGGACTGCTCTAGATGCCGAAAAACTTTGTGTAATTCCTGCAATCTGTTCTAATGTTATAGGCAAAATGTCTCAAAAAAAAGGTGCGACCTGGAGCAATAATTTTTCGCACTTTCCTACAACCTTATCTCAAAGTAGAATTGGGAAAATTCTAAAAGATTTTTATATCTTATTCTCCATTTAGTTCTCTATAATTTCTTCTTTATTTGATCGCATTATCTTTAATTTGAGTAAAGTTATGGCAAAAATAAAGTGTCCAATTACTTTTGGGTCACCCTGTAAACAAGATATAGGTATATTATAAACAAAATATTTTAATATAAAAATATATGAGTTAAGTTTTTTTTGTTTTACATAGTATATAGGGTTTGCTTTTATTGTGGTTAGTTCCGAATCAATCGAGATCAATAAAAATCTGTGCAGGAGTAGGGATTTACCGACTGACACAGAAATTATACATAAAAAAGCGAGCCCAATAAAATTTACTGTAAGTAATATTTTTTATGTTGATAAATTTTTGAGGTATTGGAAAAAAATAGTAAAAAAATGCGCGAGAAAAAGACACAAAAATAATAATGTTACAAATGTAAAGCATATAGCTATTAATTTCCTAAGGCTGTGCAGTAGACGGCGTGGTGTAATGGCTAACACATCAGTCCGGTCTACTGAGGATGCTGGTTCGCTCCCAGCCGCCGAATAACCTTTTGCACTAGCTAAAGGAGAGAAATTGCTATAGCCCAGCTGCTTTACTCAAATAATTATTGTACTAAAATTATTACAAGGTCTTATTAGTACATTATTTGTGTTATATAGAAAAAATTTTATAGTAATGTGATAAAAATGAGGTATTAATGAAAGGAATTAATACACAAAGATACGAGACTGAGGCTGTAAAAATATTGAGGTCCTAGACATCGACGTCATCTATTATATTTTTAATCAATTTTTTCCATAAATTTTTTTACAAAGTTTGAACAATTATTGGTTACACCCATTGAATTACATTTAATTTGATCCGAAAGCATTTGCCGCAAAATATATTCATTCTCAATAGAAGCATTAATTAAACGAAAACATTCATCCAATCTTTGAGCACCTTCAGTCAAACCTAATCTTCGTTGATTATATCGAAGTAAAATTTTTGTGTATTCAATGGATTCGTTTATAAGTAATTCTTTTCCTTCAGGAGACAAGCCTGTAGCACCTTTCGAAATAATTAAATTTAAATTTTAAAAAGTTGAACTAGACAGTTACTCGAGGGTGTTTTTAGGCATGCGCTTACAGCTTTTTCAGGTTAATACATATCTAGATAGTAAAAGACTGGATATATTTTCTCCACATGATTAGAGTTGTTTCGAAAATATTTAGTTAATCTAATATCGATCAGTTAGCCTTTTATAGCTCAATATTAGCAAGGGATTGGAATGGATATGGAGGATTAGCGGGGGATAGTTGAATATGTTTGGATCAGGAGTATTTTCCGTAACTATAATCAATGCAGTTAAAGCTGTAGAGAGTTTGAGAATTTAGGTAGGCCAAGGAGTCATATTTCTTCGTTTTGGTGCCAATAGATCAAATTTTTGAAAAATTTCAAAAATTGAAATATCCCCAAAAAGTCGAAATCGAAAATCTTATGAAAAAACCTCGAAAATTGAAAGTCGGATTCAAAATTTTTTTAAATTTTTGTTTTAGAATAGCAAAATTATGGTCAAAAAACTGATTGAATAGTAAAACTATCGCTGTAGATTTATAATATTTTAAATAAACTAAAGTGTTTACTTGTTATAGTAAAAAATAATTGCCACCAACAAGGCATATTCAACGTTTGCTAATGTTGCACGTTTAAAATGAGCTACAGATTTTGTAAATGAATAATCTGCCCATTTAATTATCCTAAAAAGTTTTTAACATCTTCTGACAAAAATTTTTTTAATTTTTTTGAATAAAATTTACTTATTATCATGTAAAAATACATTATTCTTCGCAATACCAAGAGCCGGCATAACATTATCCTTACGTGTCCAAGTTTCAGAGCCTAATTCCCAAGCTAGGTAGCTGCTTGTAAATGCAGTAAACAAATAAGAAATATGCCTTAGATGTTTAATCTATTAAAAAAATAAAGTTTTGAAAGTTCAAAAAGTGGTAGTTCAAATTGCGATTTACGTTTTTCCCTTCCGATTTTCGAGATAGAAAATTTCCGAGTTCCGATTTCCGTCGACATAGTAGTTAAAGGGCAGAACTAGTGTTGGGCAAACACGATTTTTCGGTATCGGTATTTTTGGTAAAATACCGATACCGCACAATACTGCGCTATTTTTGATTGAGGCAGTATCGGTATCGGTATTTCGGTAAAAATACCGCGGTATTACCAAAAAATACCGCGGTAATACGATACCGTGAATAACTCTAGGCAGAACCCTTTCAAAATTAGTGATCCAACGAGCTCTTCGAATCAAATTACTCGTTCAAAATACCACCAAGGGCATATGTATAATTTATATTTTTTCTTTTAAACTAAGTGTGCATAATATCAAATTGCTCTTATAAGAGAATCAAAAATAAATTTATATAAACACCTGATCAGATAAAGTCAATTTTTCAAAAACAGGCATAGATTTAGCTATACCAAAACACAAAAGTCTGTCAACTAAAATAAATTTATAAAAACGATTATTTAGCATTCCTTCATTCTTAAATGAAGATTCCCAACTTTTTAGTTCATCAAAAGATATTGCACATGGATTTGGCTTTAAATCAAAATTTTTTATTAAAAATTAAATTAAAAATTTACCGAAAAATGATCAACTAAGCGAAAAATATTAAAATTGGATAAAATTATTTCTTCAAACAAAATTGGTCCGTGAAGAAATATATCATCCAAATCATTAAATGAATGCATAATACGTTTTTTGGCTTCAATAATTGGCAAAATTAAATCTATTTGGTTTTGATCATTGATGGATATATCGACAATTTGACGATTTTGAAGCTTTAAAAAATAAGTTTAGCATAATTTTATAGGCAAAGAGTCAGAATTCATTATTTAAGAGCAATGAAAAAGTACGGTAATGTACTTTTTCCAGCTATATCTACCACGAGTTACTGGTAGATATATTATAGCTTGGAATTGTTAATATCTTCATGAATATACTCCATATATTACGTTAATTTCGTTCCATTGTTTTTCCATTTCTTTCCGGCATACATCTTGACGTACATATCCAACATCTAAAATAATTTTTATCAAAAATTATTTTTAAATATCTTAACAAACCCAATCTTTTCATTCCAACACTAAGACATTTTTCAAGTCTACATTTTCTACATTTTGCCAAATTTGTTTTGGGTCTTTCATCTATATTTCCTTCTGACAATTGTTCCGGCAAACATTTACAGTTAGTATATTTGCATTTATTTTCGTTTGCAAGATAACGCCTTTTGATAAATTTTTTTAATTGAATCAACGTTTCTTAATATAAGCAAATGTGCTAATCAATGACTTAGGTGTGCAAACCACGGTAACTCGGACATTTTCACCACTCAACCACCCGCTCGAATAAGTTTCCCCTATTTTTAGCCTGATACCTAGTATTTAATATGTTTTTTTTATTTTAGTTCGTACTCGTAATTCGTACCAGGTACGAATACGAATGTTGGTATGAGAGTCCAAGCACTGGTTGTCACCACGGTAACTCAGATTTAAGTGGTTTTATAAGAACATACAAGGGGATATGTATATTCCACCTTTCGTAAAAATGCGAGAGAGCTCATCTCTGGTATACAAGTATGGTGGTTCTATTAAAAAAAAATTAACCAAATAAAATACCTGAAAAAAGCCCCGCAGGCTCTGCATGTACAAACTCCATAATGAAAATAAACATTTTCTTTTGTCTCACAAACCTTGCATTGTTTAATTACGTTTATTTGCATTTTTAAAACAGAAATATTCTAATTTTTAAATAATATAATCGAGGCTTATGTATTTATGATGTACATTACTTACAAATCGACCCTCATACTTAGAAATTGTATACTTGTAAATAAACATTTTGGTATAAAATTAGATAGCCACGTCAGTATTTTCTGGTATTTATTTGTATTAAGTACCATCAAAATCTCCCGATATCTCTCTAAATCTAACGATATCCCTTTAAATCCTCTGATGCCCTCCAAATCAACTTAATCCTGCATATCCTGACTTAACTTCTTATCCCCACTATTTATATCCCACAAATCATAAACGATAAATTTCTATCGTTATTGGTCTTTTTCGATATTATGGTATGGAATAAGGTATGGCATGAAATTTCGGACTCTAGTTAAGAGATATTAAACTTAACAAGTCTATAACATCATTTAGAAAAGATTATTGGAAGATTTTATTTAAATTAAAAGAACTTCAATTTATTTAAAACGGCTAACTAAACAAAAAATTTAAATGAAACGGAAATAATTTTTTATTATTTTAAAAATATATTTTAACCAACGTTGCAATAGACTCCCTTTCATGGGATTTTTTAGAATTTTTGGATAAATAAAAAATAAAATCTATAATACGTATGCATGCCAACATGCTAATGGATTAATGCATAAACAAAAATAACTTACAAAAGCAATTAAATTTCACAATAATAATTACTTTAAATGTCAACAAAAAATAATTAGTTTTTAAAGTAGTTTAATGGATATCTTGATGAGAGGGCATTAACATCAAAATATTTATTTTCAATAAAACGATAAATTAAGAGTATACATTCTAGAGATCGGTCTAGATCTGGATCCAGTCTGGATTTTTCCTGGATCCAGAATCCAGTCCATGTCTATAACCTAAATGGATTAAATTTGACCAGAAAGTGTCCTGCGGCACAAAAATGGAAGACTTCTTCTTATTGCACCTTCAAATTTCACAAAAATTTCGCCTTCGGCGCTATAAATGAAAGAAATTTGGCTAAATGTTCGTATCTCGTAAGATACATCTAATTATTAGAGTTGTACCCCGACCCCGTACCCCGAACCCCGACCCCGTTCCCGAACGATTTTTTCACGATTCTCCCCGACCCGAACCCCGCCCCGAAAAAAAGTGAAAACCCCGTTCCCCGGCCCAAAAAGTTTCGGGGTTACGGGGTTTATATCCCCAAAAAATGTCATTTTTTGGAGAAATTAAGAAGAAAATTTAAAAAATTTCCACCCATTTTACTGGGCTTTTATTATTTTTGAAAGAAAAATGAATGAAATATCATAATTTTCTTTCCTTCTTTATTAAGAGACTTTTGGTTGAGTGGCTTAGTCGTTGGTTTTAGCCGATATTTCATTAATATAGGATTGGGTTCGGACCCATATAAGGATAACTCTGTTGTTTTTATATTTTTTCACAAAAACAAATTATTAACGAGTTAAATTTTAATTTGAAAATATTAATTTTATTTTTAACTGATATCCCTTGAACCACCCTTAATCCTTCAAACCCTCTGTATCATCACTTCTCAACCATAACAGTTGGTAAACTATCGAGGTCATGTTAATCAGAGATATAAAGGGATTTGTAGGATATCGAAGAATTAAGGAGTTTTAAAGGGAGTTAAAGGAATAACGGAATTAACAAGGATTTCGTGGGAGATTTAATGATTTATCGAAGATATCTCCTGATATCCGTGCAAATGCCCTTATCCGCAATACATCAATATCCTTATAAATCACTAATATCCCTTGAACCAACAAAAATCACTCCAGATCACCTTGTATCCCTAGATATACCATTTAATCCCTAAAGATCCCACTTAATCCCTCCAGATCCACTTATATCCCATGTTATACACTTTAATCCCTTCAAATCCCCTCTAATTTCTCCAAATCCTACTTAATTTTTGAATAAATCAACGAATTTTTCTCTAAAAATTTTTCCACTAAACCCCCGTACCCCGACCCGAACCCCGGCCATATTTTGCTCCCCCGACCCGAACCCCGCCCCGAAACAATTGGAAAACCCCGTACCCCGACATACCCGCCCCCGAACGTTCGGGGTACAACCCTACTAATTATAAAGAAGTATAGGTAATTTACACTGATGGGGCTGGTTGAGAACAAGTCAGGCTTACTGTAGGGTTTTTCAAAATTTAAAATAATTCTTGTTTGATCAGTGCTGAGCGCAATCGATTTTTTATGGAAAATAATCTATTATAAGTTAGCTTTTCTAATAGATTTCGCTAAATTTCAAAGGAAATTTAAATGAAGTGTCTTTAATTTCGCGTTAAATTGAAAATTACGGCCAAATTAAAAACAACCCCTGTTTTTCTCAATCAAAAGTTTTGGAATTTGTCAAAATTTTCATAACCCATTGCATAAACTTTAAAAATAATTGAAAAAACACAATGAAATTTTTCCCATTTTTACGTTTAATCCAAAATAAAAGAAATAAAGTTAATAAATACGGATGGGACGAGTCGAAAATAAAGTCGGATTGGGTCAGGTATTAAAATTTTTTCTAGTAGTGGGTCAATAAAGGCCGGGTATTGGATGACCGGCCTGGATGACCAGTCCCATCCGTGATAGCAAAAAAATAATTAAAAATGGTATAAAATTGTGTAAAAAATAATTAAAAATGGTATAAAATTGTGTAAAAAGAAGTATAGGTAATTTACACTGATGGGGCTGGTTGAGAACAAGTCAGGCTTACTGTAGGGTTTGGGTATATAAATTTGGGTATATAAAAATAATAAAAAGTTAAATTAATTTTAAAAAACTAAAGAAAATAATATACCGTATTTCCTGAAATAGTACTCCCCCCTAAATTAGCACTCCCCCCTTAAATAGTACTCCCCTTTGGAGAAGGGTTGAAAAATAGTACTCCCCCCTGAATTAGTACTCCCCCTAAAATAGTACTCCCCCCAAAAATATTTTTCCCCTATATTTGAAAAAATAATAAGAGACGTTGAATTATTTTATTTATTCTAAGTAGCGTTGTCGGTTTCACTTGATTCTTTGATAAACAAAACCTGAGAGGATTAAAGAGATATAATCCGATTAATTGGTGGGGTAAAAGTGGATTTTGGGTATATAAATGGATTTATATCGGATGATGAAATGGGTTCTGTATTAATCAAGTGGGATTTAAAAGAGATCATTGGATTAAGGTTTGATATAGGAATTTGAGGGAATAATGAAGGGGAGTCATATTAGGCGATTTTGGTTGATTAAGAGTGATCAAGCGATAAGTTGAATCATAAATCCTTCTTAATCAACCAATATCGGAAGTACAGAAGGGATGTGGAGGATATCGGTGATTAATGCTGATAAATCACTAAACAGAGATTAGGTAATCCCTAGACACATGAGATTAGTTGACCCCTGATAAATCTTAGACACAAAGATATATCCACTATCCCAAAAATTAAATGATAATTATTTTATTACCATCAAACGCCACGATAGCAACGATACCAACTTTATCCCACTGATAATTTCTTGATTTCCACTGATATCTTTCTTGATTTCCCTTAATAACCCGTATTTTAAGTCACTTGTGTCTAATTGTAAAACTTGTGTCTAATTGTAAAAATTTCAAATTTATTATTCATTAATAGAGAATGTAATTTTATTTTATTTACCTCGTTAACGCTATTTTGACCACAGTGGTTGATAAACAATTTCATGTTCGGTTGAGCTGTTTTAATTTAAAGAATTTTAGTCAACAAAAATAGATTGTATATAGCATGGCTGGGTAATTTGGAATTTTAAAAAGCGGAAAACGGAAAGCGGGTGAAAATAAAAAAAAGTTGAAAGAAAGCGGATAAATTTTATAATAATCTTGGTCTAATAAAATAAATTATATATTAGGCTAACCAATTGTATTATATTAGGCTAACCAATTAGCTTAGTTTTTCAATAAAAAAATTTTTCAAAAAAATTTTTCAAAATTTTCAATAAACCATTGCATAAACTTTAAAAATAATTCAAAAAACACAATAGAATTTTTCCCATTGTTACGTTTAATCCAAAATAAAAGAAATAAAGTTAATAAATACGAATGGGACGAGTCGAAAATAAAGTCGGATTGGGTCAGGTATTAAAATATTTCTAATAGTGGTTCGATAAAGGTCGGGTATTGGATGACCATTCCCAGTTCTTATAGCAAAGAACAATAATAAAAATGGTTAGAAATTACATAAAAAATAATAAAAAGTTAAATTAATTTTAAAAAACTAAAGAAAATAATATAATAATGTTAGGAAAAGTTCTTAAAAACCCATACTCAAAATTGCTAAACATAACCAATCAGGGCTGGCGCAAC